TAAAGTTTTATTCATTACAATCCCTACTCCTCCTGTGACAGGTTTCTTTTCTGACGCACCTGTATATATTATTCTATGGTCTCCGCTCCAAAAGTCTCCTGACTTTGGCCATCTCATTTCTGATATTCCCAGAATATCTACTTTCATTTTGTCCATTTCTATTTTCAGATTCTCCTGTTTCCCACATTGTAATAAAGTCCTTACATTCCAAGTTGCTATTCGTTTATATTCCTTCGCATCCCTAACACCCTTAACATTTCTTACCTCTCTTGTAGTTCCCACCCGGAGATCCGAACGGGGGACTATTTTACCTCCGGAATTTTTTACTTGAGAAGAAGAMATGTTGATTRCTGTTACTTGGGATATTAATACGGTGGTTTCCCGTTGCCTTCCGTATCGCAGTACAACCACCAGTTATACGGTTTCCCGTAACTGTTGGCTGCTGACTGGTGTGTAGCTGATGAGCCTACACCCAGTATTGTAGTAGCTGCTGTCTTACTACAAGTCCCTTTTAGTCGCCTTTACGACAGGCAGGAACAACCGGTGGTCTATTCTAACCCCGACCAACAGGGGTCATTACCTTTAAGGACAATAAAGCGAATGGCTCCACCCCGTGAGCATGCCTATGAGCTGCGCATTTATGCACAAACGGAAATTAAAGCTGCGAATTCCAGTAGGAGGAGTGATAAAATGTATCTGATTTGAATTCAGAAACATATCAAAATGTATGTTTCAAAATCAAAAATGTGATAATCGGGGATAAACGCATGAAATATTCGGGTGATGCGGTTTGAAAAAATTGTATAATCTTTGTACCTAATACSTATTGTTATTTGTTATACCTATATGGCTATATGATAGGTAGGTACATCATTGGTATTATTGATATTTCGTGGGGAGGTTAACCCTTCGCGGCGAAACGGTCGCGGCGAAAAAGCCAGCGGCGAAACGGTGCGGTGGCGAAACGGTCTGCGGCGAAATGGTACAGCGGCGAAATGGTCTGCGGCGAAACGGTTGCGGCGAAATGTCCTAGACCCATTTAAAAACGTAGTACTATTGTACTAATATTTTAAAATGTAAACGTATAAATGATTAAGACAAGAACACTTTCTAATGAGACGACGTATGAAGTAGGCACTGTACGTAAGAATGGAAGATATTAAACAACTATGGTCTATGATTATAAATTGTTTCATGATAATAATAATTATTATTACAATATGTTCAGCAAGCTGTTCATCAAAAATATTACTATGTCTATTTTTATCGTCAGTATTGCGATAACGGTGAGTGGTAAATACTGCCAACTGCCAAACGGCGACCGTTTGCTATCCGGGTTCCAGGAAATGCGTTTATTTAGTCCGTATACATTACGTATTTAATACAATAATTAATGTAAAATATCGATATTAATTTTAGCTGCGGAGACACGGAAAAAAATCATCACATTGGCCCACTAAGTTTGAAATAGAACATTTTTCCACCTTGGTTTATTTTCATATTTTTTTTTTTTTGTATTTTTATATTTTATACATATTTTTGTTGTATTTGACAATGTGTTAATGTGCCGACTGCAATATTAGGTTAAATGAGT